TAATGTAATTTCGATTTTGATTTACCTAACTGTTATTAGTGATATGGGTATCAATTGTATTCGACAAAATTTGTAATAAGAATCAGTTGACCTCACACTGAGCAAGCTAACAATAAGATTTACTGAAGACGAATTCTATACTTTTCTAGAATGGACAGCACTTCTTTATCTGAACAGCTATCGCTCTATGTGAAAAAAGAGTACATTTTTTTATTAGTTTTTATTAGTTTTTTCAAAGATAAATGTAATCAAAAGTGACCATTCAGCTTTATTATTCACCATTAATTTTGGTAACGTATTTTATTTATATAGCTAAAAATCAATCGTTATAAATTGGCACGTATTGAGCAATGTACCCACAACAGACAGATCAATATTTTACGGATTGAACAATATATTTCAAAGAACTTTTGATTGACACATATACTACACAAATCCTCAATATTGCTTTCAAACTATCAATAATATTGTCAAATATTTCATAATTTGATTGTTTAGGAATCGCTTATAAAAAAATTAAAAAATCAAATTATTTTAAAATTTCCTTTTTATAAAATTTCCATTTTATGTTGTTTTTAACACAATTGTTTTTACAAGTACAAAAACACATTCTCCTGTTAAAAAAATTTTATAATAATTCATAAAACGATTAGTGATTGAATATATTCTGAAATTCAATCGACAATAATTGTGCTATAGAATTTAAAAAAATTCATGCATTTTATTATCAATATTTCCACTTTATTTATGGTTCTATTTGTTGATTTTTCCACCCCTAAATTTCTTTGCCTGCACAATAAATAAGGTCAGAATCAGAAGAAATATGTTTGCTCTCTTTATTCGTCTTTGTTTGCGTGCTCCTTAATAAGAGCCATTTCGCGCGTCGCAGGACCTTGCAGTCACAGCTTATTTAGCCAGCTGTAAAAACAGATCACATTTCCGCGCTAAAACTAACTTGTGCGAAAGCTGATTCACGCTGCACAAAGTAACTATATCGCTGGATTTGTCTCCTGATTCCACTTTTCAAGTCAACAGCGAGAAACAAATCCTATTTTTGTCATCATTTTAAACAAACAAGATATTTCAATATACATATAAGTCGGCAAATACTAACTAATTGGTCTATCATTTATTGTAAAAATAAGACACAAAAAAAATTTTAACAAATAAATATTAAACAAATAAATATTAAAAATAACGGGCAAATGAAAGAGTAATTCCGCAGAAATCATTGCGTAATCTTATAAAAGTATATTCATATCTTCATTAACTTGATTACAATCAGTTCGAATATTTCGAACTATCTTCAGCGAAATAAAAACGATAGGTATAAAAATAAAAAACCGCATTAGAAAAATAAGATAAATAGAAGAAGAAACATTTTCGATGTTTATTAAAATCATCTTATATATTCTTTAGATATTTTTGTTCATTTGCAAGTATTATTAACAAAAAAATATAATTGTCTCTTTATTTTTCCTTCTTAATACGTGATATTCATAATACATGAAAATATTCTGCTCTTATAAAACTCTTAGAGCTACCACACACAAAATGACATAAGCTGCATAAGATCAATGATCGTCTAACAAAAAGACGTCGATATTGATTTGCATAAGATGTTCACTGATCAGCGGTCTTATGCTATGTTTATGCAGCTTATGTCATTTTGTGTGTGATGACCATTAGACTAGTCTCTGTTACTCCATAGTGTTTTGTTTAATTTTGGGATGTAATGGATTAGAGTTTTGTTCATCGCGTATTTCATTTTTAGACATTTAATGTTTAATTTTTATATATTGTAGAACGCTGACGAGAATATCGAAAGCTCAAAGTGTTAATACTTTCCTAAGTTATTATTCACAAATTATAGATAAGAGTTTAATATTACATAAAATGTCTTGAAAATTTTGTATAATTTGCTTGTCGAAAATACTATGTTCTTTTTGAAGGAAATCCTTCAAAAGCTGACTTTCTTCTTTGGTAGTCCATGTTTAATCTTGAGATACAACGGATTAAAACTCTGTGTTGCAATATTTTACAATGTCGAGCTAGTTATGTGAAATAATGAAACTCGCGGGAGGATTGAGAGAAACGGACAAAAGGCCGACGAGTTTCGGTGTATTTTAGCAAAAGAGCGGAAAGGACCGTATGAGAAGAATCATGCGGCAAAGTAATTTCATCCTCACACACGGAAGCGGAAATGCACGGGCTGGGATCGCGCTACGGCACATAATGAAACGGTACTGTGCAGTGCATCCGAATTTTCCGAAAGTTTATTCCGTTCGTTGCTCTACGACCTTTTGCAGTTGCAACGAAACCAGATTGTGACACGCGAATTTTGTGCCTATCTTTTTCTTTTTTCTTTAATCTATTTTATTACTTTTTTTCATGTCGTTGGCAATGCAACGATATCTGATTTATGCATTTCGCGTGATGGAAATGAAAGAAATATAATAGATACACATAAAGTTCTCTGGGAAACCCATTTAAATAAATAAATAATCATTGTACACATTCACGTCGAATAATGTGTGAGCTTGCGAAAATATATTTTATGAAGTAAGATGAGAAAACAGAGAGATGGTTTAAATTTGCTGTCACATCTTCTTTATATGATGGATATGATTTCAATTTAGATTGACAAAAGATTAGCAATTAAGTTAGTTAAACATTGAAATGTTAATAATATTTATATTATAATTAATTAAAATTAATCAAAGAACTTTTTTTTGTAACAAATTAATATCTTTAATTTAATTAAACGCTACAATTCGGGAACGCAGTATATCATAGACATTTTAAGAATTTATAAATTCATTTTGATAGACAGCAAATAAATATACAAAACATGTACAGATTTTTTTAGAATATGGCAACAAGTTACACAAAATAATTTAATTAATATAATATTACAAAGTTATAAGAGAAAGGATATTTATATCCTCCTCAGAATTTAAATCACCTTGTTTTTGATTTATAGTCGAGAATTGTAAATTATTTTTTGCAAACTCGATTTCGCAAACTGACATAAAAATGAAGATCTATCGTAAAACGATACAGACGGTTTCCTATCGAACTAAACACAATAAATGTCCGCGATTAACCTTAAACCATGGAAGCAGTATTTTTTCATTAAGACTTTTCCATGATTTTTCTCTTTATCAATTTGAAAAAAATTTTTCGTTAATGTCATTGTTACAACTTTGCCATAAAACGTATTATGTAAATCGCTCATTCATTCATGAAAAGGGCAAGATCGATAACCGAAAAAACATTGATCACCACAGGATTGCAAGTATTATAATGATAGATGTAAGAAGAGTTTTGATTTGAGCAGCGAAGAGAAGGTATGTAACAACGTCGCTCTATCCGGGTTTGTTCTGTCCTACTTCGTTTCTGGAGGAACAGCTTTTGTTCACTCTTGCCTGCCGATTCCCCTCTGGATCGGATCAGATTACCAGCCACGCTGAGGCGCTTTATCCCGAGAAATGCGGGTTTCCATTGCACCGAATCGACGACGTAATGGGATTGAGGGTAACGACGAGCGATGCAATACCGACTTCATACGCTCCCACGTTTTGTTCTCCTTCCCTTTCCCTCATCCGCGTTCGTCCTCATCTGTCCTTTTCTTGGTTTAACATACGATCCAACTGGCCTCCTTCGTTTCTCTTTGGCATTGAACGATTTTGTATCCGAATAGGATTCTCTTGCGGCAGGGTTGCGAAAAGAGATGCAAGCAAACGATCCTTCAATTTACTCTCTTTTTGGGTCGAATTTTTAGTTCACACGCGCGAAACGTTTTGCACGTGTGAACTTTGCGCGACCTGAGTGCGAATTCTGCTCGGATTAATTAAGCTTGTACGAGGTTGAGCTTACTATGCACCATAGATGAAGCAATGAATATTTCAAGTTAGTATTCCAACAGGTAGCGGCTAATGCTGAAGTAGAAGGTTTCACGTGTCCAACCCTTGTCTTCTATGACATTGGGTCGTTATTAAAGTTTTTAAATTTATTAAACATGTAGATTAAGTTTATTACATAATTTATATTAAAAATGTATTTATTGTTGTTATTATTGCTATTATAATTATAAATTGCTATTTCTTTCATCGCAATTAAAGAATTTTAATATAATCGGAACTTATTGCTCTGAATATTTATCAATTTAATTGATTAGAAAATTAAATTCTTCTAATCCAAAAATTAAAAATATAACTAACCTAATTAATTATTTTATTAAAGTATTATAATGTAAAAAATAAAAAATTACGATATAAAAATATCTGATTACGCTGTATCTGTAATTTATTTCTTTTTGCACATTGCAGCATTGTTACGGTTTTATAAAGTTTATAAAAGTGCATATCCATCAAAGGAACACAGAGCAACATTTTTGTTTCTATAAAAGTTGCCTGTTTCTAAAAAAAGTTAAAAAAAATTCAGTATGTTTTTCGATGTTCTGTATGCTCATTATCGCCAAAAATATAAGTTGTTTACGTATAGAAGCAGCATATATAGGCAACAACGGACAACATTCTGTTTCTAGAACTTCTGTTGCTTCAATAACATATCATGCACATCATGTGCTTTACGGAATGCAGCTTTTATTGGTCTGGCGAATACAATAGTTGTGGACAAATTGTTGTTTCAGTAACTAGAACAAAACTGAAATGTTCCTTTGAACTGAGTTTATTTGGTGGAGACAAATTGTTTCTATTAATTACTATTAGTTACTATAAATTTTCTATTAGTTACTATAAATTATTATTATTTCTAGCAACAATAGGCAAAAAAAATTCCTCAATGTTGATCCTTTGATGGATGAGCACATTAAATCTGACTTTAAATGTATAAGATATATAATATATAAATTAGAATTGTGTAAACATTTTGTTGTTGGAAATATTAGACAATTATAAAAATTAAAAAACGACTTATCATTTTCCAAAAGAAAATAATAAATTTTAAATTAAACAAATTGATTCAATTTCACTCACCCGTAACAACGACGTTGATTTTCTTAACTAGCGGAGGATGCGTGGCGACTTGGCACTGATACAACCCCGAGTCGCGTGGGTTCGCATAAAGTATTTGCAGTCTCCAATTACTAGGATATCTATGAAATCAAACAAGAAAGAACAAGATGATAGAAAATAATCTCTAAGATTCAGCTGAGAAATAAAATAGCCACAAAAGATACATGCATTCTCTGACGGTATTGACGTAGATACATTTGTAATTTGCAATATAGTAATCTGCAATGAAGGAAAATTGACATTTTATTTTCTAAGAAAGACTTCTATAATAATGCGTTCAGCTTCAATGAATGGAAACGGTAATGTCATGGTGCGAGACTTCAACATTACAACATGATCGATTCTGATTTTTATAGCACATAAAACGGCTGATTTAATTCTAGCGAAAGAAGACGAAAGCGAAATTCTTCATCTTTGCAAATGGCGACATCGAATTCGTTCCAACGACAATAAAAATCAACTGATTGTGAGATGATAATTCAACTCTGACGACGCGATTACGTGGTTGGCTGCTGTGAATGATAATAACGAATTATGATAATGACATTGACAATTTCGCCGCAGAGATTCTCTGATCGTTGAAACCGCGCTGTAATTCCGTGAATTCCTACTTTAAAAGTAATAAAATTATTCTATGAAATGATTCCAACCTCGATTATTGTTTTTTTCATAAAATCAATACAGATAAATAAAGGAAGTTATTACTTACCGAAAATTAAGACTGATTCTTTGATCGTTGCTATACGGCGTTCTGCCTACTGTTAACAGACGAAAGAAATCCTTATTATGCTGCAACCACGTTACCTATAAAAAAAAAACAATATTATCATTATCAGTAAGTTTTTTCGTCGAACTATCATGTATTTATTTTTATTACTATTAGTCTCTTCAAAATTAAATAATCACACAGCATTTTTTTATTTCATACGATCATTTCAAGATATTTAAAATTTAAATTTTTCAAGGAATTATTATGATTTCTGAAACAAATGCAACGAAAATATATCAAGAGATTACGCGTGCATGTAGGTTGAAAATTAATAATTCCTTTTGCTTTTAGATTTCCAAAAAGACAGCTAGCAATTTCTGCGCGAAGCTTCGTGTATGTCAGCAATAAATGTAGACAATTTACGCGAAGCTCGGTATTCGCCCAAGGAAGTGTTGATTTAAGGCTCACACGATACGATTATTAAACAATAGTATATAGAAATTAAATGATATCAAACTCGTATGTATAACAATTGCTTTTTAAAAAAACAAGTAGATATAATCACAGTTTAATTATTTCGAATTTACTTTAAAAACTGCATAAAAAGAATTAATTTTCATCAATTCTTTTGTCTCTTATTTTTATATCAAACTTTTTATTAAATTCTAGTCAATTATTTCATTACTGTCAAATATTTAACAGTACGGTAGTCATGTTTTTGTCACTTAATCCTTTGAGGAAGTTTTCTAATAAAGTAGCTTATAGAAGATCTTACATTTAACTTTCGAAAGGTTTTCGGAGTCATTGAATTTGAGTCTGGTCTCAAAATTCTAAAATTCAAATTTAAAAAAATATCTGATTATCGTAAAACTTGATTTTAGAGAATTCTTGATCTTTCTGAATTTGAATGTAGCCTGTAGAAAATATCGAATTTCAAAAAGATAGATAATTAGATAAAGATAAATAAAGATAAATAAAGATAAATAAATAAAGATAGAAAATAGATAAAGATAAATAAAGAGCCCCCATGAAGGGGGCTCTAATGTCACAGGGTTCATGATCAAAGTTTGAAAGTTAGTTTGGAAATCAGTGTACTAATTGTTTATGTATTACTGATGAATTTCAAATAAGGCAAAATTGAAAACTTGATGTTATATACAATGTAATTAAAAACTCTCTAAAATCAAGTTTTGTAATAATCAAATTATTTTTTAAAAATTCTGTCCATATCGAATTCATCACTTTGAATTTTTTATTTTTAACCTCAGGTTCAAATAAAATATTATCAAATTACTCCATACAAGTTTCAAAAAATTAAACAAGAAATTTACGACATAAAATAGGGTAACCCCAAATAGAATCGCCGATCTACAGAGTTAAGTAAAAATTTCCAAATATGATCGCAATTTATCTAATTAACTGAGCAAAACTGTGAAAATTTTGGTACGGTTTATAATTGATTTTGTAATTGTTGTAGCAAAACTAAAACTTACATAGTGCAATCTGGCTTTTACGCTGTCTATAGCGATGTTTCCGCTATATCCTTTTTCTGCACAAAGTTTTCTCTCGAGATTCGACCTCATACCATACGTGCCAACCGATGCAATAACGGGATATCACAGGACAAGTTATCACGGTTTGTCATCGCGGATAAAAGTCTATTTCGCGAAAACTTAACGTTGACGACGGAAATATTAACCGTCCGGAGGATTTCGTAGATACGCCGAATTATATTATGGAGAACTTTCCATCGAAGGAAAAACGGAGAAAATGATTTCTGGGCGAATCACGTACAGGTCATTACGATGGCCGAATTAAATTTGTCGTCAAAAAAGTTATCTGGATAAAAGTCAGTAAGTTCAAGAACAGTCGCTATAATAGTTCTTTAACGAAATTAATAAGAGTTCAACTTTTGTTAAAATGGCGTGACGCCAGAAGGAAATAAATCGTATAAAAGTATCTTTAAAACCAACCACATGGCTTATAAATATTAAAAGTACATTTAATATATGTCAGATAATAAATTATTCTAATTTTATTACATTTTCTAATTAAATAACAGTTAAGTACGAACTTATCTTCATTTCTATTTAAAAGTTTAAATTAAAAATTAAATTAATCTCACGTATAATTCATAACGTATAATATATTTCGTTTTTCTTTTCATTAAAGTATCAAGTTACAAAAAAAAATTTAGATCTTAATTTAAAAATACAATGTTTCTAATTTTATTCCTCTTTCTCGACAAAGTATTTTTGAACCGTGTGATATCGCTTTCAGTATAATTACAAATGTACTATGTATTTTATGTAATAATGCCTATATTATAAAAGAATCATTTTCTCTATTCAAAAAGTCATGATTGTGCGAGTAAACATTTAATACAAACAAATATTTCCTCGAGTAATCTTTCTCCTCGACATCTTAAGTAGCCGTTTTACTGAAAGGACTGAAATGACTTGGCAAACGGCATGAGCGATATTTCATAATTAAGTGCCCTTTGAGCTATTTGCTATTCTTGGAGCGCGCGGCGCTTTATGCTACACGCATATTTCTCGTATACCAACTTAGGTGACATTTGCGCGACATGCACACACGTCTCGAATCGGGAGCACTCGTTTTCGTTCCTTGGCATTGCCGTCCCACCGCAATCGGTTTCCCATTACGTATTCCGTGGAATATGAATCCCACGGGAATCTCAAACGCCCGTGTCTCGGAACTTCAAACCGTCCAAGCGCGACGAGGAGCAAATGGACATAGAAATCAAGGAGAAAGGGACAGGGAGATAGCACTGATTGAAATGCGAAAACTTTCGTAACGACAAGACAGACGAGATCGTACACGCAGCAGACACTAACAAACGATGTTTGCAATTATAATCTGCGCTTCTGCTTACTCGATGCTGCATCTTGTATTCTTGCTTTACTATCTCGATCATTGCACTTTCCCCTTGATTCATTATTTAACGGAAAAAAATGCATGATCTTCTTGATTAGACTAACTGAGCTCGCGCAATCTCTCGATTTTCTTTTCCTTAATTTCCTAGGCTTTAATTATTTCCTTAAGTTTAATAAAATAAAGAAAATTAATTTTAAATTATGGAAAATCAAATAAAAGGATTATACGAAGATTCGATTATTCCAAGACGAGGAGAAACGAGGTTTATTCTTTTTAGCTGAACTTCTTACATAGTTTACCCCTCTTTCTTCCTTTTTTTCTCTACGTTAAAGAAAAAACAAAAAGTTTGAAAAATGAACTGTACAAAAGTTCAGCTAAAAAAATGATCCTAATATACAAGAAGTGCGGTTAAAGTCTCATTACAAATGCTTTCAATAAAAAAAAATTTTACTAATTCCAGTTAAAAATGAATATTCTGTTTCATGCAAGCGAATTTGCAATAAAAAAAATTGAACAAAATTTTTATATAAAAAAAGATCATTTTGAATTTTTTAAATAATATAATAATGTAATTTTTTTCATATTGCAAAGGATTTTTAAACGAATTCAAAGCACTATCGGGAATGTCACTCACGTGTTAAGCATTAAGTGCTAACAATAAGTATCAAACAAGTGTTACGAGCACATGTGTGAATTACTGACTAATCCACTGTCCAACAGAATATAACACAACGTCAACAGATATTAAAAACAAGGAACGTTTCCTGCATGCTATTCATCGCTTTTGCTGCGTAACATTCTGGATTATTGCACGACAAACTGTCATCGATGAAAAATATCTGACTCAACACATCAATTTTTTTCCTTTATTATTTATCCTTTTGTTGTATGACAGGTTGCGGTTTATAAAGTTATAACAAAAATTCGATCATTTTACGTTATTTGAAATTTTTCTTAACATAGAAAAAAAATTAACAAGATTAACACAGTGAATAAAGCAACTCACCTTTTTATCACCTAGCATGCCGATCTTGCAGTCCAACAAAACAGTACTGCCGATTCTCGCGGTGACGTTTATCTCTCGGTCACCGTCTTCGAAATATGGACCGAATTTTCCGAAAGCGCTATCGACGCTAGGCAAGACGAACTTTCTGCCCGACAACGTCCTGTGAGTGGTTATCTGGAACTGATCACGACCGCGCTCCGTTTCGAGAGTCCTGATCGACGGTTTAATCTCGTAGAAGGCCTTCGTTGACTTGCCAGTCAGTAGCAAGTTATTCGCCGGTTTAGTCTGATTTTTTTTGGTTTCGCTGAGTTTTCTCGTTTCGTCCATGTGACCGACGCTAGTTTTCCCCTGTTGTCGGCTGTCCTGATAGTCTTCCTCCTTTTCATCTGGTGGCGGTACTTGGAATGAGATCGCTCTGATATCTTGCGCGTTTTTCTGCTCGCCGTATCTTGCTTCCGTAACGTCTTCCTCTTTCGCTACCGATATCAATGTCAGCCAATCGTCTTTTGGCTTTTCCATCTTGGAGTCGTTCATTCCTTGAACATTTTCGTGGTCCAACTTCATTGCCAAAGCCTCTTCCGCCTGTTCCGAGTTCTCGATCCTCTTCGAGGCGAATATCATTTGATCGTCTATATAAGTCTTCGACGCATTCTCGAAATGCGGATCCACTACGGGAACGAGCGAGGGCAAATCCTTTATTGAATACTCAACCGTGAAAGCAGAAATGACTTCCTCGAGAGCTGTTGTGTCGTTGCCGCGAGACCAACTGGCGGTTTCGATAGTGCGATTCTTCACGATTCTCTCGTCGAGGCGTTGATTTTCCTCATCAAGATGATTAATGCCACGCTCGATGGCACCATTCTCCGCTTCTGCGAGAAGAAAACAAACAATCATGTTAATGATAAGTAAGTTAAATCGAAACGGATGTATGTGGATGGTGGGCGGGAAATGTAAGGGTGAACACAGGTTCGTCGGTCGTGTCGAGGGTGAATCGACATGCCGACGAGGCGGAGCGTTCACTGCGCCGAGATTTATGACTTGGAACGGAATAGGATGATCTCCGGTCGGAGAGCGAAGATTTAAATGTGGACGTAAGAAGTGCGACTAGAAGTTTTATGGGACATTTAAAAGCTCCCAGAGGAGAGCCAATAAATGGCCAATCAAAATCTCAGATCTAAAAATGTTATAAAGTGAGACAGTACATTCGAATTGTTTCATAGATAAATATGTAAACTCGGGAATATTACTAAATTCAATTATACCTTCATTCAACTAACATCTGTGTATTTCTGTGACGAAGGCAGACACAATACTTTTAACAACAAGAAGATTAATAAGGTTATATAATTTGTACAATATTTCCAATAATTCTAAGCTATCGTTTCCGTAACGTAGAACAAAAGCCGAAAATCTGCGCGACATCCTGTTCACTTGAAAATATTCCATGCGAAAGCCACGTGATAATAACAGTGTAACTCCTTTGTACACTACATAGCAACATGTATTTTCACGAAACAAAAGTGCTACAGGTTTACTTCCGCAGGAATTTCATTTCGCGAGCGTGCGTATCACGATCGTACTTTTATTTACGAAAGCGCTGGCAAAGTTTCCGGTATAAGGTTTCGTTTCTCCTGTGGCTTCGATCGCAATCAAAGTCCATGAGAAAACTCGTGATAAACAAGTCTTTTGAAAACTTCACTCGGCGCTTTCTGTCATCTAACGAAATTTACTTCAACGCGATCAACATTTCTCTTTATAGGATTAAAACTGTTCTATTGTTAACAAAAGTGGATGGCTTTTTCATGGAATAGGTACAATAGAAAGTCCATACACATATATCAACTATATTTTTGGACGATTTATTGTAAATCGAAAACTTTACGTCGAGTAAGATAAAACTTATAAAAGAGCCACTTTGTTAGTCATAAAGATACAAAAAAAAGTTTAACGAAAGATTAAATGATGTACATTTAAATATATAATTATGAGAATATGAAATTCTTCTAAATAAATTTTGTAAGAAAATAAAAATATATTCTACATTTGTATAATTTTTTATATTCAAGTAGAATTAATACCTTAATGTATTATTTTATTTACAGAAACGATCTATAGAATTTTCTAAAAAAATATATTCGTAATAATAAAAACTTTCACGCTGTAGTGTTATTTATTGTGCAATAAAACCGTATCGTCACGAGCGTAGATTTGTTGATGTTCTCGTACACGTCGTACGATGTCTCACAATCGTCGTAATCCTATTTACGCAAGTGGATATTGCTCTCACAACAGTAATAGTTGCTATAAATATAGAGCGATTATCTCACTGTTATATTTGTTCATGGTGAAAACGAAGAGAATTATATTGCTATCTATTGTGACTTTTGTCAGAAAATGCTCTCCCTCTATATCTGTCATTTTGTCATTACTCGAAACTACAGGCTTTTATATAGTTCTTCAGGCATTTGTTCTTCAATTTTCTCTACTTCGTCACAAGACGCCACATCAGTTCAGCCTTATCCCTTTCATCTTCGCAACTCTTGCGGAAAATTGAAGATCACCACAGAAGGAAGAAAAATGTACCTACCATGTACTCTTCTTGTCAAATCTTTCAGCGTTAGTATATTTTAAATACAAATTAATTTTGTTTGTATTGACATCATCAAGAATGTTTCAAAATTATCAAACTGTTAATAATTTGTAAAAATTTTTAATTTAGAAAAAATTAATCATACATTTTCAATATCTTTACTTAAAAAATTATAATATTTCTGATACAAACTAATGTTCGTGAGAAAAAAAAATTTATATTAGCTAAAAAATTCCATGAATATGATTTATAAAAGATATTCAATCAGCAAATATTCAATTAGAGCAAATCATTTTCCAAATTTTTATAGCTTTCTATAACTTTAAATTAAAATTTATTTCTTGTATAACTAATTTGTGTTTTAAATATTCTTTTTTAGAGCTATTTTTACCTTGACAATCACTATTGCTGTATACAAGTTTGTAAAAATTTCCAAAATCACCGATCTCGCCGATTGTCCGGAAAATGTGCAAACGTCAGCGAACCGATATATACCGCGATATTTGGCGTTGGCGATCTTGTTTAGACGAATCGATATTGCTAGCCATGCCGATAGCACAGGCTGTAATGGCAACAGCAACAGCAACAGCAACGACAACGTGACATTCGTTCGTCGTTCGTCGTTCGTTCGGAAGCAATTTAGCGCGCGCTTTGCGTCGCGAGTGATCGATCGATCGTGTCGAGCAACGCCGTGTAATTTTGGCTACCGACGACGTTCGTAATGATTTATAAAACGGCAGACGTGTATATAGAGATTTCAGTGAAAAATTCGAAGATCGCTAGATTCTCTGGTGCAATTTTTGCTTGCAGACAAATCAATCATAATTTATTTACTTCGTGCTTTTACATAGTCAAGCTATATTCTTAAGAAAATATATAAAATGATTTATAGAATGGCGGATATACAATGATTTCTGTGAGAATTCAAGAAATCTTCTGAACAATTCTTTCTTGTAGAAATTCACTTTATCATCATTTATTTGCTCCATATTTCATATCAACGTTGTTACTTAAAAAGAAATATTTTTGAAATCGACATAGAATTTAAATTGTTATTCCAGCACATTCCAATTCTATTTGATTAATTTCCGATAGTGTTATCAAAGTTATGGCATATTAATCTTTACTTTGTCAGGATTACACGCGTATTACTATTCGTGGCAGTCCGATCTCCGTGAACATGCTCCGAATAACACGTTCTGTGATAACAGATAAGGCGCTCGCTCGTCTCGGGTTTTGCTGCCAATCCGTCCGGGAAAGCTTTTTCTTCAATCTCTCGCGCCCTGAATACAAGCGATTGTGCGAATGATTGATTACCGTCGTACGATACGCCACCACGCTGGTGGTGGCCGGAGCTTAAAAGCGCCATTGCTTTAGGAGTGCAAGTGATTCGCGCAAAATTTCGGCGATTAGCCTGGCGCGATACAGCCCATACCATAAAATGAAGATACTTCGCGTTTGTTCCTTGTGATTGATAGCCTTCGAACGGGCCTGTGTAACCGATGCATAAGTAACGTATCATTTTTCATTCGCCACGTCTGCAAATTTCGCGTCTAATTCCCTTTTCTACTTTCGAGCCGAGCGCGTTTTCAGGCCGCTACGATCGAGCGAACGTGCCGAAGTAACGTGGTGCACCTATCTCTGCGCTCCGCAATTTGTCAGCAAGGATTTACGCTTGTCACGTGTGATAGACAAATTCGCGAAACGTGCGAAGAAGGAAATTCCGTAGATTATTCCTGTGGGCGCGACAGATGCAGTCCCAGATGGACGTCGGTCTTTGAAGAGTTGAATTAAAAGTAAGTCTTCAGAGTAAAAATCTCTGTGTGATTTGAAAAAAGACAGATATTTTTACAAGGTAATATTAGCAAAATAGAAATGTTTAACTTGTTACAATAATTTTATGATTTTCAATGTAATAATAAATAAAATTCTTTTCTTCAAATTTCCGTTTATATAAGCTTATATCTCAAATAATTAAAAATCTAAAATTGAACGAATACATTAATTATTTCTTTATCATTATTTGTGACATCATTTACATAGTTTCGAATGTATGTGTTACATAATTTACATCGTACATAATTTATATCAATTATATTATGTTCAATATTACAGGTACTTTTGTTCTGAATGTCATTTCTGGCAAGTATATAAAATTATATATAAAATTATATTAATATTGACATAATTTAATACTATAAATCTATTGTGCAGATAATAAAATCTTTTTTTTATTTTTTATCGATTATAATAAGAACACATTTTGATCTATTTGCTTTTTTATAATCAGAATTTTTTACTAAAATCATATTTACTTAAACCAACTAATGCTTATTTGTTTGTTCCTTTTATAGAAAAAGAAACATATCACTTAAAATTGGAGTTGTTATGATTCATGAAAATGATAATGCTTTTAGTTGTAAAAAAGCTGGCAACATTAAGCGCATCTCGTTATCCGGTACTTTCAGGTTTCGTAGGGTGCGCGGAACTGCGTAAAAGGGCATTCGCGTACCAAATGGTGATTGCTAGGAAACGCAAGAAAGTAAATTCCGGTGGGGTTATCTCCGTCTAAAGACTATATAGAACAACTGGTACGGTAGCTATAGAAGAATTTCGCCCTCTTTATTCCTCCAAGCACAGTCGTTTTCCGTTGTTCTCGACGCTATGGCACAATTAGACATTTAGATTAATTAAAAATTCTTGCATCCCCCGTTAAACTGAGACAAATGAATCATTCATTTGTTCGCAATTATATTCTATCGAGATTAGTCAATCAAAAAAGTATTATAAATTTATTGCAAGCAGAGAATTTGTAGTGCGAATTGAATTTATAGTGCGTATAGTAATCTTAATTTTAATACAATGAAATCATTTGATTTTTAATTTTATATAATTTTTATTTATATTTTTTCAATAATAATAAATAAAATCGCATTAGTCGAATATGAAAGTAGAAAAGTAGGTACTCAAAATTAAATTAATTTTGAGTAAACAAACTAATTAAATTAAGTTAATATTTTTATTATATTGTATTCGATTATATTATAATAAATTATATAAGTTTTAGCAGGCGTTTTATAAACTAGTATTAAAATTAAAAACGTCAAGCAAAACTGCACAATGAATCGCCTACCTGACGTAGTGACAGTAATCATGATAGAGATAATGGCGATGACGCCGAGCACCGAGGCGCTCGGCTGCATTCTCCAACCGATCATCTCGAGGATCCACGCAATCTCAACCTTCAGGAACCTGCTCCATCTCGTTCATCTTCTTTCTAGACAAAAAAAAGAATGTCCTCCTATTAATGATAAAAATCGAATAAATAGTAAAAATACAAATTAATTTTCAGAATTATAATACATATTCGACAAAAAAGGATGTAAAGGTAATAAATTCATTTTAATATATTTCTTATAATGTGTGTGATCACAAATAGAATATATTTTTCTTCTAAAAAATGAACAAAAACAAAATATTCAAAATCTTTTGTAAAATATAAATATATTTTTAACATATCTTTATGTGTTTGCATTTATTCTTTAGAAAAAAAACATTTTTCTGTAAAATAATGTTCCTAAAATTATTCCTAAATTATTTGTATTATCTCGCTAAAAACATATTTCCAATTAATTTCAGCATAACACAATGAGAACATATTTTTAACATAAAACTATCTTCGCGAGATCGAGTATCGAAATCATAAAACTGTTGTTTTGTCTTAAGGTGGTAGAATTAAAGTTCGTTACAGGATTGAATTTCCAACTAAGTGTTGTTAAAAAAGTGGGGAGGATTGAATTTCCAACTAAGTGTTGTTAAAAAAGTGAGAGGTTGATATCGTAACTTCTACAACTCAAGTTTTAATCGCCGATTGTAATGGGTACTGTAACAGTAGACAAACTTCCATATCGTTATATATTGTTGTAAAAATGCAATATTATATCTTCTTCTTACAAATTACAAAATAAAAAAAATAGGAAAATATAAAAAAAATAATAACGATCTTTTTGTGTATAATAAACAATACAAATTATTAGAAATATTTTTTAACACGAGTTTATATAATTATTTAGACACTATAACATTTTATATATAACATTTTAGATTTTTCAATAATATGATAAAGATTAATATATAAATTAATAAATATTATAATAAGCGTAAAGCCATATTTTATATTAATATTATTTATATTAAATTTTATTGTAACAACAAAAATTAAAATGTCATGTCTTTATTTTGTTTACAATTCTCTATCTTATCTCTCCTTTTTCTTTCAACTATTATTTTATAATTTTATAAAATTTATTTATAAAATTAAATTAGAATATAAGTTATATATCAATGCTATTAATCTTAGTTTATTGTTAGTAAAATAACAATACGGAGCAAAAAATAAACAACTTTTTGTGTCATTTATAAATTAAATCATTCGTCAACATGCGATCTGTTGTTAGCATCATTATAATTATAATATTTTAATATATTATAATTATAATTATAATATTTTAATATAAAGATTTTAATATAATATTTTAATGTAAAAGTTAGTATTTACAACATCAAGTAGCATTTATAAAATTGAACAATTCATAGGAATTCTTCTAAAAATTAATTCTCAGAAATGTTGTCTGAAGAAAACTGTCTACAATTTCATCATATTAATGGATACAAGTGAATAAATCTGGATTACGCAAAGTGAATTTACCACACACACACACATATAATAGAAAGTACAACACGTAAAAATGATGTTGATAATAAATTAATTTTATTTCTCTTGACAGGTTTAATTATCGACATATTTTTTGTTCCTTCTTTACACATCCACACACACGAGCGCGCGCGCGCGCGCATGCATTCACACACGCACGCACACATACACATGTATAATTTTAATTAACCATGAATATTATTTCTTAAAAAATATAATAAATTTTTCGATATGCGATCAAACATTAAAAAAAACAACTCATTTTAAATATTTTTCAAATTATATAATTATCGCATAGACGTAATAAATAATTATTATAATTACAAAAATTTCATATAATACACAATACACAATATACAAAATAATTTAAACATATAAGAAGCGATGTTTTTAATCATTTTACAAACAATTATTGATAATCGAAGTTTGCAAATTAAGTTTATGCATTCAAATTTTTCTTACAACTTTTTAAAGATATAGAAATAATTTTTGAAAAAGTCAGATTATGCTTTTTTAATAAATTAAAAAAATGGAAAGATTAAATCGTACAAGAATATCGACCAATGTGTGCAACGCATATTCCGTTTACGCGAATAAGGTAATTATTAAAGAACTACCCATGATTAAGCTCGGTTCCCTAGAAATATTATCCTCGACCTCATTTCCCATGTTCCCTATTTGCATCCGTCATCTCTAACAAACACGATTTGCTCATCTTTCAGACGTTGATAAATAAATAAAGTTTTTGATACAGATACAGCCTTTAGTATACGTTATTATACTTTATATATGATCAATCGAAAATTTAAAAATGTCAAATAGCATTATCATAATGATTAAGAAAAAAAATTCAAAATAATTTAACTTAAATAATAATAAATTTGGAAAATAAGAAAGGTTTGTATTATAATTAATTATATAAACGATTAAATAATGTTCATAATTACATAATAATTATATAACTATTTATTAAAAGATAAATTAATTATAAATTGCAATTATGTTGGCAAAAAGAGTCAATTCTTCAATTAAATACATAATAATATATTAATTTTTATATCAAAAATTGCTCTCTCTTATGTACAAGGCATGTATCATTATATTCACATTATTCTTTATAACTGTATAATATACATTTATAAAATATTACTTAGCACTTTTAAATCATTTTATCTGGCTTTCCGCAAAATAATCTTTATCTGATTTTTCGTGGGTGACTGCTTAATAGCCGTCAGTTTTGTGCTGTCGATATATCGACAAAATTCACCATGTTATTACACAATTTCCGTTAATCGTTAACGGAGAACTGTCATTTATTTTTCGCAAATAAAAATAGGACGGTATTAAAATCCATTGATCATGACATGTTATAGTTATACTCATACTGTCAATAAAACAAAATACATGCTGCATATAAGTTTTAATGTATATACATACACACTACATCAAACTATTCAAAATTTCTAACATAAGTATAAAATCTAAATATTAAAATTATATTTTAATTATAAAAGTTTGTATGTATACACACAGTTTAACTCTAATAATATTACATTGTTTTAATTTTAAATAATTTAAATTTAAATTCTAATGTTAAATAAATTACAACATAATTTTATTATGTATTGGGAGTATAAATTAATTCGGTCCGTTTCCCTAAAGATAGTTCCAGCTGTTGTGAATGGTTCATAGTAACAGCTGATTTTGACGGTTCAGAGAGGTTAAATATCTGCTAATAATATTCAGTTTATAATGCTTTGAGTTCATACAAAAACCTTGATTTTTAACCCTGTGTTTGAAATATCGAATTTTGTATTAACCAAGCAGCATTTGCGGGAGGCAAAAATGGTTTGATTTTCTGCTTTAATTCGAAGAAAAGTGCGGCTGAAGCTCATCGAATGCTTGTCGAAGTTTATGATGACACTGCTCCAACTGATAAATCATGTAGGGAATGGTTTCGTCGACGTTTCAAGGATGGAGATTTCAGCATTGAAGACAAGCCTCGCTCTGGACCAAAAAAATTTGAAAACAAAGAATTAGAGGCATTACTCGAAAAAGATCAGAGTCAAACGCAAGAGGAGCTTGCAGAATCATTGGGGGTAACTCAACAAGCCGTTTCTGTACGATTGAGAGTCATGAAAAATAATTTAAAAACAAGGAAATTGGGTGCCTTATGAACTGAAACCGAGAGATGTTGAAAGGCGATTTTTCACTTGCAGTTGATTCAAAGACAACAGAGAAAAGATTTTTTGCATCGGATTGTAATTGGAGATGAGAAATGGATATTCTACAACCCCAAGAAGAAAAAATACTACCCTAAGTCCGGTCAATCGTTGCCATCGATCTCAACATCAACACCACGGCCGAACATTCATGATTCGAAGATCATGCTCTATATCTGGTGGGACCAAAAGGGTCTTGTTACTATGAGTTGCTGAAACCTGGCGATTCAATTACGGGCGATCGGTATCTATTTAATTGATTCGTTTGAGCCGTGCATTGCGAGAAAAACGGAATACGAGCAAAGACGTGATAAAGTTATTCTTCTTCATGACAACACTCGGCCTCATGTCACTAAAGTCGTAAAAAAATATTTGGAAACATTCAAATGGGATGTTTTACCGCACCCGCCGTATTCTCCGGACATTGCTTCTTCTGATTGTTGGTTGTTCCGAAGGATGCACCAAGTCACCGGTTCATTTCTTTCGTAGAAATCGAAAATTGGCAAAATTAGATCGCCTCCAAAGATGAGTCATTTTTTCGAGATGGAATTCGAAAATTGTCTGAGAGATGGGAAAAAGTAGTAGGCAACAATACTTTAATTGATTTGTTCATTTATTTTGTTTTGAAATAAATGCACAAAAAAACAGATTGAACTAATTTGTACTCCCAATACATAATTATAAATTGTATATTGAAATTTTCTTTATATTTATTATTTCAGTTATTGCCAAATAATTAGAAGATTAGAACTATACTATATATACAGAATAATTTGAACTATATTATTAAAAGTTTTTGACACATGAACGACGCATAAATTGCGGACGTTTGAAAAACTAAAAGCCGTAATATAACTTGGCTCTGAGCTAACAAATACCACATTGAAACTTCCTCTCAGAATTCATTTCTTTCTTGTGACACTATTGGAATAGTTGTGCATGGAAAGTTGTCGGTAATCACAATTAAGCTATAAAACGTGACTATATCCGTTCGAAACTCATATAATTATTAACATAACTTTGTTATGAGTTAATAAATCAAACATTGAATTTACCAGTCGAAATGTCCGATTTGAATAATTAAGGACATAAGAAACTTTCCGATTGTAAAATTATAACCTTTAGCACTTTAGAATCCAAACTCATTTAATCATTATGCACAAACTCCTAGAAAATAAGTTATTTTTTTATTATCTTATTATCTTTGACAAAGCAGCTTAATCAATAAAAAAGTTCCAATATTGAAAAATTTAAATTACGTTAAGATCTGCAAATAAAAACTTTTAAAAA